CAGTGACTTAATGCCCTCCACCAGCCCCTCCACCAGTGAGGCTGGCAACAACTGTCCGTCTCCAGCAATCGGACCCACTGCCTTTAATTTATACGCAATCTTTCATTTAGCTCGTTCCACTACTTTCATGGCTTTTCTGGCAAAATGGTAATATATTTTTATCTGTGCGTTGAAGAAACGGGTCAGTCATGAAGATGGTGTAGGGCTGGGAAGAAAGCGCGAATAAAACTGCATTAAGCTGCTAATATTGAATTTCCCAAATCAAAATTTTTCTTTACCAAGATTCTTCAAAAAATCAGCTATTGATTCAGATATACCAACCTTTTTGATTATGTTTTTGTCGTAGTAATATCGAAGTGCTCTGGATAATTTATCGTAGTTCATGTGCGGCTTTGCTTTACGCTGTCCCCAGAGCCGAGCGACCGCTTCTGCATCCAAAAGCTAAAAGGAAAAACGTTAACAGATCTAATTTGATAGCTATAGAAATAGGAAACTGAGTTATTCCCTTCATTTGACCTCACTCTGTGCTACTATGAACCTATAACAGACCATAGCGATACCCAATCCAAGTCGCAGGCATGGCGCACACCGCGAGGGTGTGAACTTATGCCTTGCCTTTCATTTGAATGATGGAAAACATTGAAGATTATGGTCAAAACTCAGCCCAGTAAAAAAGCTCGAGAGTTTCTGGCAAGCTGCCAACAAATGAGAAAGAACCATTTTCATTGTGATATCATGTGTCTTTCCGCTCTTTTCCGTTCATGGGTAAACAATCCCTATGGGAGGAAACCTGCTCTCCAAGTCAGATTGAAGGAAAAAAAACTAGAATGATGGACGCCTAGGAGTAATTTATCTATGTCACCTCTGGTAAGGAAAAAAAACAAAAAATCTTATATTCTTTAGTAGATTTGTATATATTTTATAACTTGATATAATTGGAACTTTCATTTTCTTTCTGACCATCATTTATTTCAGAGTGTTTTACAGTTCCTCCTCCCTTCAATCATGAACACTTCATATAACTTCTCAGCTATTTTCACATGCCGCATATCTCCGCCAGGACACTTTGTCGTTGAAATTTTCCAATGAAGAGAGGAAGAGTGGGGCAACACCTAGTATCGCTGAGCAAACCCCGTCAAGAAATCGTATTTTGCCATCTGGGAAAGGGGGCATTTGCTAGCTGGGTATTTCTCTTTCTGAATATTCTGTCATGGATTCAGCCTCCTGAGTAGAAGATGTCTTCAATCATCTGATGAGTAATCGCATGCCGTTTTCCAACCCCTTGCTCGACCGATTCTGAGGATCGGTCGTTTTTCAAAATATTCTCGCATTGGTGAGGCGGAGATGACGTAGTGGCAAGTGGCCCGCCCTCCCGATGGGTCCGAAGGACAGGATCGGACCGGGGCCCCGGCCAATGCACTGCCAGCTTCCTACCTTACGGGGAAGGTAATCTTTGGTGGCATATTGTCGTGTGTGGGATATAGCGGGCCGAGTGTCTTCATCCGATAAGTCATGTGTGCATGACTATACTCACTCAATAGGCCGCAATCGAAGGGGAGTGCTTGGCTGCGATGCAAAAAAATAGTATAGCACATTGATCAGTTAAGACATTTTCTCAGTGTCATCCTCTTTTGGATCGCGGCCACCGCATCTTTATTCCTATCGCAGTAATCGGTAGCAGCTCATTGAATGCGATGTGGCCCATACAAAGACTTGCGGAGGAAAAGTCAATGTACAAGTCACTACTCTTATCTTCGCAGACAAATCTGGCACCGATTTGCCGTCTGCGTGGAGTAGAAGGCTGTTCTGGTATGGACGGGAGCCGATCCAAGAGCTTTGAAACCCCGGACCACGCGCGTGGTAGGCGTCCCATTTGCCACTAGACCAATTCCGCCACGGAAATGGATTAGTTAACAGCGGAAACTATCCTTTATCTTCTCCCCTATCGGGATGAAGTTTCCTGATCTCTGCGGCCTCAATACCCTGAAAGTAAGTGGAACACGTGGCGCATACCCAATGAATCACTCCACAACAGGCACTTTAACCGCTTGCCCCCACAGCTGTCACAACTGCAACCTTGGCACCGCGCCTTTCACTCGCAATCATCAATGAAACAATGAGAACAACGGTTGGCATTACGTATTGTGACACTTCGATCGAAACAAGCTCACCTTAAACTCGCCCTCTCGATTCGTCCATTGAATCAGTTGTGGATGTTCCCCTTGTACTAGTAATTCAAGCAAAAACTGCCACAGAGTAATATTCGAATCGACCGATGATCTATTCGAGAACTCGTTGTCGTGACGGGCAGTTAGGCCTATGGAAGGCATCGTGTCCATCATTATCACGTCGACTTCTGGAGCAGTAGCTGTTTGACGTTTTCGAGAAGTTGACGATGGTCTAACTCACAATCTGAAAACTTCACATTCATTACTATGCTTCAGATATAGGATCACACGCATTTACGAAAAAAAACCGGAACCGCAAAAACCAATAAAACACATCGATAAAACACATCGACAGGGTCTACAAGCCAGTTAAGCCGCGATAGTCTATATCACGATGATGAAAAGGGCGTGGCTGTGCTCTTTCTTGAACAAGGGGTAGGACTCATTGAACACGGAAGACTTCGCTTTGGGACAACTACCGACCTGTCTTGGACAAGAAATCATTACAATCAGGGTACGGCTTGTCGTTGGAGAAAACTTCTGTACCCCCTCCCTTTTCCTCCCAAATTCTCCAAACCCCCTACCATTTCCTGTAGTTCCGTATCTCTTCTCGAAAAAAATAACTCCCCGAGGAGAGGGCGGGTAGGATGATGCAGCGCTAATCAAACGAGAAAACCAGAGAAAAAGGTCGATCAAAAACATGTTTTCCAACATACCACACTGTACCCTACACTGACCAAATACGATCCTCCCCTCTGCTGGCGATCCCTAATGTACAGAGTCTCCCGATCAGAATCGTTCCAAAACGATCAAATCCAACCGAAAGCACGGCCGCCACCGCGTTCAGATTAAGGACGCAGCCACGCCCTCTCACTCTCCACGATATGCAGTGTATCTTGCAACATTGAAGTATTGAATTATTGAAGAATTGGAGAAAACGAAGAGCTGCAGAATTTACGAAATAGTTCATATATTCACGTCTCGATCTATTTTCACAATTCGTCTTTCGTTCAATTCTCAATTTTTAATCAATACGTATCCAATCCATTACGTCAAGTCTGCGATTTTTTATTTCTTCAAATCTTCACTGTTGCAAGCTGTGAGGGCGGCGTTAATCAAGCCGCTGGGAGGAAAAGGATGAAAAATGAGTGAAAGGAAGAGGATGAAAGTCTTCGCGATTGACACATGTCTTGAGACCACCGATAAGCGACCAACGTGGAATACACGGCGAAAAAATGAACGATAAAAGAGAAGGATGAATAAACGAGATGAAATCATGTTCGAACTTGTCTTGTACAAGACAATACAGAAAAAACATGGAAAATCTCGCAGAAACGTGTTCTACCGGAACAAATCATCTACTGACATGTCCAAGGGGCGGATTTAGCCCGTGGGACAAATCACGTGTGTTGTGGTCGGAAGATGACGATATGATTATCAGTCATAATCAGCGCGAAGGATTAGTTGAATAACCTTGAGAGTACCATTTTATAACAATGACGCTTAAAAGGCCCTTATAAGACCAAAGAACTTGTTTATCTCACTGCCAGAGGGCAATTGCTTTGCGCTCACTTTTTTTGGCCTCAGAAAACTCATAGACCCTCAAATCAATGTGTCAAAACGCACCCTCACTGACTTGGGAATCCCGCTAGATATGAGGACCTGATTGGAGGGTTCAAAACTCCCTGAAATGAAATCGACCATGGCGGAAATACGAAACAAAATGAAAAAAAAGTTGGGGAGGCATGTCCTAAGCTGGGGAAACCCCAACGGCGGCGTCGTAGTTGGCCGTTGGAGGGAAAGGGAATCTCACCTCCACCAGATGACGGCATAGTCGAAGTCCTGTACAACTACTGCTTTCGCGACAGCTGAACTGAGTGGTTGTCTGATGGCAACCTCCTCCACCCCTTCCCCCATCCCCCCACCACCCTCCGCTTCACCGTGAAATTTCGGGTAACAATTGTGGAATTTTTGGAAATTCTCGGCAAAGAGACCTGGGGAAAGAAGTCAAAGACCATTCTGGGAGGGGGTCGTATATTGGGCAAAAACTCGCCATTGGCAGAATGCGACTCTGCGTCGAAGGTCGAAAGGGTAGCATCAGCTTCTGTAGAACCACGTGCCCTTAGAGGAGGTTAGGCAAATGCAACATAGTCCCCCCCCCATTGGGCTCGTCAGCAAGAGAAGGAAGGGACTCAGTTCAGGTCGAACGAAGCCCTTTTCCTGGTATCACTCCTACAGGTCTTGGCTTGTTCTGTTAGAAGAACTCTACGCGACCAGGACATGCCGTACTTCTTGAGTTCCCAGCAAGGAGGTGAGGGGTCGTCTTCGGCCGGTGTAGAATGTCCCTCTAGTCTCACTCGACGGCACTCAGGAGAAATGGCAGGAAACGAGGAAAATTTAGGTAGATAGTAGGTAGGACGGAGGATGGGGAGAGAGGGGGAACTAATCGGAGGAGAACTGGGTTGAACTGGGGGTAAATCGGAGAATTGGAGTATTTGGCAAAAACTTCAGGACGTCA